TTTATGTACTTCTGTGGTACGCCTTTCAATGACAGACACTGCCACAGAATCTCGCGATCTACAGAGTCAAATGCTGCTTTTAAGTCGAGAAAGACCACCATTGTCGGACGCCGATAAGTATGCCTGTGTTCTAGAATCTGACGAATGGTGAATATGTGGTCAGTGCAGCCACGACCAGGTCTAAAGCCAGCTTGGTTCTCTCGTGTTTGCAGTTCACGAGTCTTAGTTAGGCGTCTGATAATTATCGAGGCTAGTATTTTAGATATTATATTAGTTAGACTAATCCCTCTGTGGTTGTCACAGGATGATTTTGACCCTTTCTTATATATTGGGACGATAAGCGATTGTGACCAGTTAGATGGAATAACGTCTAACTCCCAGATTTTAGCTAAAATATTAGTCAACCTAATCGCCGAAATTGGACCACCATCCTTAAAGACCTCTGGAGCCAATCCATCTGGACCAGCTGCCCTTCCTCGTTTCAGATTAACTATAGCCTTTTGAACTTCAGCAAGAGTTGGGGGACCTACTTCAATGTTCCATTCACACTGTCTGGGAATGGAGGGTAGTTGTAGAGTAGCTGAAGGCCAGCTGAACTGTTCTCTGAAATGTTCCGCCCATCGTTCTAAACGTCTGGACTGGGAGCAGATGAGTGTATCGTCTTTTTCCGATATAATCTCACTTACACTTGACTTATTAATTCCAGTTTCTTTTATTAGTCTGTAAAGCTGTCTTGTGTTCCCTATAGTCGCCGCCTTTTCCATCTCTTTTGCTTTCGTTGCCCACCACTGCTCACGGTCGTTTCTTAGACTTTTTCTTAACCTAGATCTGATTTGTTGTCGCTCTTCATCATGTTCGGAACCTGATGGGACGAGTTTGCGAGAATCCATCAGTGTGATAGACTTTGAAGAAATCCACTGGTTCTTTGAAACTCTGTGGTTTAAGTCGCTAATAGATGTCACTGCTGCTTCCACAGCTGCTTGTATTTCATTCCAAGCAACATCTGGGTCAGCCTCGTCTTCAGAACTACCTAATCGTGACCTCAGTTGATCCTGGAACCTACTTTTGGTTTCCTCGCTACTCAGTTCGGTTCTAATGGGTCTTTTTACTGTGGCTTTTTTGCGTCCAGTGAGGCGCAAGCAGATGCGTGCCCGTATTAGGGCGTGGTCGGAGTCCAAGCAGGTACTCCAGAATGAGCGACAATCTTGTACCGACCCTCTCCAACGATGACTGATGGCAATATGGTCTATTTGAGTCCATCGTTGGTTTGCTGCAGGCGGTCGCCACGTTAGACGATGTCTCTCCTTATGCTTAAAATTTGTGTTTGCTAAAAATTAGCGATTGTCTGAGCACAGTTGCAGCAGACGGTCACCATTATCTGTTCGCTGTGCCGGAATGCTAAAATATCCATCACAGGCTCAAGGTCATGCGTTTGATCGATTTTGTTAGAGTCCAACTTCTAGCAAGTTCACCCTTTTACATATATGCATGACAAAAGAGTATATTTTTTTGTTTTCGTGGTTTTTCGTGCACAAGATATCTACACTATGTCTATTTCCTCCCAGAATACCAATCCGTTCTGGAGGTCGAGCACTTACATGGAACCGAACAATTATCAATTACATTTATGTATTTTCATTTTGTATCTTATCATTTTATGCAGGCAGTGGAGCAGTTTTTCAGGCTTGCTTGATTTTCACCATTACCTTTGAAGTAGATTCCTCTTTACCTTTTACTTGAGGGCGACTCAAGAGGCAGGTGAGTAAACACCTGATAACCGGTCTGAGCATGGAAAAATCGTACCTCACCAACATGGTGTTGGGTAGCCCGCTCGCGGCACTTCCTCAGATATTCTTGTTTCACATTCTCACACTTTCTCTTGAAAGCACGCAGCAAACCGTCAGCGATATTTGTAGAAGAAATCACATGCTGCAAAATAAGATGACAAGCTAGTAAATGAAGAGACATCCATGGACTATCGTTGACAGCGTCAGTCGTCACTGATTGTAAGTCAAACAGTGAGCGAGTTGATAATTTTCCCTTGGCATGAGAAATAGAACTAAGGTGTTTTCGATAGATAGGTTAGTCGAACCGACGTTCCTACGGAAGTCGATTCTAGGGGGAAGCTAATGTAACAGCTTAGGTTGGTTGGTTAAAAGTTGACCCCAAACAACCAAGCATATGCCAAAACAGTATTGTTCAAGTATTCATTCACTTCCTTGTTTTGTATAAGCGTTATATTCCCTAATATCTTATATTGAATGTTGAGAGCCTTTGTTTGTCTGAACAGATAATCCCACGCTCCACTGTGACTGCGCGAAGACCGAAATAAAGACCTATTCACTACTTGTCTGGTTTCTTCTATCAATAGCACGAGGGTTACCTTAAGGCACGAAAGCTATATCTGTATTAGAAGTGATATAGTTTTAAGTCGCAAGCGGGGAGGCATAACGTTATTTGTTACGGATCACTTCCGTATACAATCAATCATATCTGAGGCTCGTGTTAGTGGTTCATGTGAGGTAGCATGTTGCAAGATTAGATCTAGAAATGGGTTGGTGACTATAGAGGGAATATACTGTAGTCTGTGTTGTCTTGCTGACGACTTCATCTTAAGACACATCTGTTCTTGGAGTATGGCAGAATGTTGTCTCATCATTGGGGACTTCAACGCACCGCATATCAACTGGATCGAGCTTACTGCCCCGTTATTCAGTGTGCACTTGCACAATGTATCGCAAAACCGACACATATTGACTGGAAACATGATCCGTCACTGCTGGACCTCGCCCTCACCCACCACTGTGAGGATGTCTTTGATATCCAGCACCTTCCCTCACTAGTGAGCAGTGATCATGTTGTACTTTACTTTAAGTTTAGGACACATGGTATGCAATTTGTGTCTACTCCACCCCGTCTCAATATCTGGCGAGCTAATTGAAACTGTGCTACCTCGACTGATTGGCCAGTCGACGCGGATGGATCGATCGAAGACGAATGAAATAAGTTTAAGGCTACATTCGAGTCCGTAACGTCACCGTTTATCCCATGGTCAGCACGTAAGCTATCATATTGCCTTCCATGGATAAATAGGGAAACCCAGAAGCTGTTAAAGCGTAGGAAACTCTTCTGGGACTTATTCTTGTTGACAGGTCACTCATCATTTAAGCGTGGGTACCAACAATTCCGGGATATTTGTAAGAAAATCATAGCTCAACCCCGTAACACTTACGAACGACAGTTGGGATATGAATGCCGTACTTGTCCGAGACGACTGTTCTGATGTTAAACGGCGACTGAAACGTAGTAATGGTATTCCCTCGTTACTGTTACACGAAAATGCAGATTTACTTGCTGAATCAGATCGCGCAAAAGCTGAGACTTTTTCAAACTATTTCAGCGAAGTGTACTCTATGTTTATTGTAACAAATGCTTGTCCCACTCATACCGAGATACCAACCATTGAATCTGTACAGGTGACTGAGAAAACTGTCCCTCCGTTGATAACTAACCTCAAACCTTGTAAGATACCGGGCCCTGACGGGCTAAATCCATGTCTGCTGTCATCTCTTGCGGACATTATTTCAAAACCGCTCGCGACACTCTTCAACATGTCCCTTTTACTCGCTCAACGCCCTAGAGATTGAAAAGACGCTAAAGTCAGTCCTATGTTTAAGGATGGTCAGAGACAGATCGTATCTAACTACCAACATGTCAGTCTAACTAGCATTGTCGTTAAGTTACTTGAAAAGACAATTCGGGTTAGGTTGCTAAGCCACATAGATTTACACAATCTGTTAGCTCCTGAGCAACATGGATTTCGTAACAAGCGTTCATGCTTGACTAACTTACTTATGCGAGAGAGGATTGAACAGCAACCTTAGATAAAGGTCTGTCTGTCGATGTGATATTCATAGATTTTGGCAAAGCATTTGACAAGGTTTCACACTCAGGTCTTATGCAGAATCTCACGAGCTTCGGAATAACAGGTACTGTACATGAGTGGATAAGAAATTTCTTATGTGACCGCAGACAGAGAGTGAGGGTCAACGGAACGCTATCCGATTGGAAGATGGTCAAAAGCGGTGTGTCACAAAGCACCATCTGAGGCCTTCTGCTCTCCCTTCTCTACGCTAACGAATTGCCGCTGTTGCTTAGGTCGTCGAAATTATTGTTTGCGGAAGATGTGAAAATCTGGAGAACATTAAAAAGTGCGGCTGAACATCTAGATCTTCAGGCTGACTTAGACGATTTAGTTAGATGGGCTCGAGGTTGTGTCTTAGTAATCAATGCTGGGAAGAGTGTACGGTAATAGTTACCGTTACACTATTGAGGGTAAACCTCTTCCTTGCGTTCAAGAGCATAAAGACTTAGGAGTAGTATTAAGTCATGATTTAAAAACGACTACGCATTGCAAAGCAGCCGCTGTCAAAGGTTTTCGTGCGTTATGGTCACTTCTCCGAGCGTTCAAATCTTTTGACGAGGAAACTCTTCGAATTTATATCACATATATGTAAGACCACATTTAGAGTACTGTATCCAAGCAGCTAGCCCGTATCTAGTAAAGGATACTAACTTCCTTGAGCGTGTCCAGCGTGTGGGAACGAAATTAGTGAAGGATCTTTGTCAACTCCTTACGATGAGCGTTTAAAACGCCTAAATCTTTTCCCCTTGTCGTATCGTAGGACACGAGGTGACCTTATACTGGCATTTTGTATCTTTAATTGTGATTTGGGTGTTAATATGTCTTATCTTTTTGCTCCCTCCAGCACTTATAATCTCCGAGGTCATAGCAAGAAGGTTCATAAACCACGATCTCATAAACTTAAAGTGTGGTCCCGTTTTTCTCATCGAGTAGTCAATGATTGGAACGCCTTACCCGAACAAGTGGTATCAGCCCCATCAGTGAATACTTTCAAGGAGAAGCTGGACCTTCACTGGAAAGCAATGTGTCAGGATAAATACAGGTTCACCAACCTACTATCCTTATTACTGAAGACTGAATACTGAACATGTACGTATTTCAAATAAGCCGTTACTTTTTGGATGTGTTCTGATAGCGATGTTGTCGTATCCTTATAATTCAACTAGTGAACTGCGTCAGAAAATGACAGGCCTTCGGCGTCAACTTAGCCATCCTCACCTAAATAAATTCAAAGAAGCCAAAAAGGAACTAGCTTCTATATATGAAGATATTTTAAGTTATGTGTCTGAAAGTCACAAATTTACTCGAGAACAAAGTGAAGGTAGTTTTTGTACCCAACTTTAAAAACTCTTACTTACAGAAGAGAGGTTTGCCAGACTTATCGGACAAGGAGTTCATGCTGAAGTTGAACACCATCTCCAGAAAATCCGTAATATTCAGGAAATTATTGCTCGTAATCAAATGAAGTGTGCTTTTTTCGGGAGGTAAGGTATTCCTCGTGTTATTAGACATTCCATTACGAACTAGAAATGTTCTAGACGCACTATCTAAAAAGTACAGTAGTATTGTTTCTCGTTGAATTAGTTAACTGTTTTGATCGTAAATTACGTATCAAAACTACGATTTACACTTTAATTGAATCTACTACAGTTAAAGTGATATTCTATTGAGCTTTTTTGGCTCTTGTGTACTTATTACATTCGAAAGCATTCTTGGTCTGTATCAAAGTACTTTGGTTAAGGCTTAAAATCTTGCTAAATTTTGTCTTGTGGTAACCTTTTATTCGTTGACTGACATTTGTGTTCATACTGTGATCATATTGTGTGTTACACCTTGATCTGACTAAAATGGTTGGTAGTACTCACAAATGTGGACAACCAAACTGTTTGTTGCCTATGGAGGAGGGAATGCAGTGTGACGAATACAATAAGTGGTTCCACAAAATGTGCACCCGTTTAAGTCCCACCGCATACAAAAGATGTTCGAAGCCTAACTCACATTGGCTTTGCATGTTTTGCTGTGCCAACAAGGCATTACTAATACAGGAGGCTATGAGCCTATTGGCTTTGGCCTGTTGGAAGAACGACGGCATATGCGCTAACACGGACACTAACAGTGACGAATGTGTCAGTGTAGTACCTGTTGTTACGCGACGCCTCAAACAACCGACTCTGACCGACGTAAAAGTGAAATCTCCGTTGACATTAACAGGGGGAGTAGTACCACCTGGTACTGACATTGTTAATAATGCACCTTTAGTGGGAACCGAAGATCTGGATAAATCAGTCACCGTTCCAAATATTCCCAGTGTTATGAGGGATGAAAAATGGACTACGGTACGTAGGAAACGAAACGAAAAGAAAAAAGCTGTAAGTAGTACACACGTAGTTAGTAACTCAAATTATTCAAATTATGAGCCACAAACTGCACTACCGAGATCTGATGGTAAGAGTGAAACCCATCCTGGCGTGACTGAGAAAAAAATCTAATAACATCGACTATTATTGTAAGCAAATTGCGGGGGTCAAACGACCCTGATCCGAAAATTGGACACGCGCATGACTTAGAAGAGCTAGGAGAATACATTCGTAGTATTTTACCAGATAACTCCAAAGGAGTTCAGGTCAAAAAATTGGTAAGAATAGGCAAGAGGACTGAGGACAATGTTGAACCCCGTCCATGCAGACTCCTTAAGGTAATCCTAGGATCGGAGAAGCAACGGAATCTCTTGCTAAGTAGCGCTCGTTGTCACGACAATTCTGACATCAGAGTTAGACCTGACATGTCTCTCGAAGATAGAATAAAAAGGAAGAAAGCATTAGCTGAACTTGAAACCCGTCGGCAAAACGGCGAGGAAGATCTCCGGCTAGTGGGTTTTCGGATAGTCAGGTCTTGGAAGCGAATGCTACCAAGGCCTGTGTGGATAGGCTATTCTACTTAGGAGTTCTATATGCCAACGCTCGTAGTCTACGAAATAAGTTCTATGAACTAGAAACACTAGTGGACAGGTTAAAGTCACTCATAGTAGCAGTGACAGAAACTTGGTTAGTCTATGACTTAGACATTACTCCAGAATTATCCGGATACCATTGCATCAGGAGTGATAGACATAGATGTAGAAAAGGAGGCGGCGTCCTGTCATATATAGCCAATAGCATAAATATCCGCTCCTCTACTAGCGAATCCCATGATAGCGGTACTTGTGAAGTCATTAACTGTAAGTTGGCTATAGGATGTAGTACATTTATGCTAGGTATCATCTATCGCAGCCCAATCTGCTTAGCTGATGACTTTATTCTAGAGCACATTCATCTTTGGAGTGAAAATACCAGATGCTTGATAATAGGAGACTTTAACGCACCTGATATTAGTTGGACTGATATGACCGTAGAAGAATCTATAAACTCCTTTGATAGTGGGTTACTGATAACAATAAAGGAGCATGCACTAGTGCATCATGTATCCCAACCCACACGTTTTGGTGTTAACCAGGGTTCTTCTCTGCTGGATTTGGTAATCACTCATGAGACTGAGGATATTGTCGACTTAAATATTCTTCCACCGTTAGTAAACAGCGATCACGCTGTTTTGTCATTCGCGTTTAGAACTAGGGACATGTTATACGATCAGGTTACACCGCGCCCAAATGTATGGAAAGCTAACATATCAGCCATTCAGGAATGCGCTGCTAAGACAGATTGGTTAGTAGATACTAGCATATCAGTTGAAGAAGCATGGTCTGTATTTAAAGGTAAATTTAGACTAGTTACGTCCCCGTTCATACCATACCTGGTACCGCGAAGACCGAATAATAGTCCACCATGGATAACTAAAACGGTCAGGAAACTCCTTAGAAAAAGGAAGAATCACTGGAATATGTTCATCTCTACTGGCTTAGAACAATACAGATCCAGTTATTGTAAGATTAGGATTGCCTGTAAAGCGTTAATAAGCAAGACTAGACATTCATACGAAAAAAAATTGGTTAGAGATTCTAGATATAGTCCGAAACGGTTATTCTCGTATATAAAAAGGCGAACTAAGAGAAGCGATGGAATTCCATCACTTTTGATACGAGACAATCCGTTAATCTTAGCAGAGAATGATGCCGAAAAAGCTGAAGCTTTATCGGAATATTTTAGTAGTGTTTTCTATCGGTAATGAGGAACGACCAATGATTCATCGTGACCGTGACGGCTCGCTGATGGATCCGGTAGTCATTGAGAAAGAGACTGTTTTAAGGCTACTTCAGCATCTCAAACCTGATAAGTCCAGTGGTCTCGATGATATTCATCCTAGGATTATGAAAGCCATATCAGATGAAATTGCTGAACCATTAGCGATACTATTCGACATGTCTCTGAGACAGTCCAGACTTCCTAGAGACTGGAAAGACGCCATAATAAGTCCGGTGTATAAGGCTGGGAGTAGGGATTTAGTTAGTAACTATAGACCCGTTAGCTTAACTAGCGCAGTTGTAAAACTGATGGAGAAAATCATTCGGATAGCCGTTATAAACTATGTTGAAGGGTAAAATCTTTTCTCCAGGGCACAACATGGTTTTCGGAAAGGTCTATTTTGCTTGACAAACCTTCTCATTGCAAGAGAAGATTGGGCTGCTGCAAAAGATCGGAATGTTCCTGTGGATGTGATTTTCATAGATCTAAGTAAAGCATTCGATAAGGTTTCCCACTCTGGTCTTAAATTCAAACTAGAACGTTTTGGAATCCATTATACAGTCGTAGATTGGATAAGTAGCTTTCTCCATGACAGGAGACAAAGGGTAAGAGTTAATGGGGCTCTCTCCTCGTGGGTACCTGTAAAAAGTGGGGTTCCCCAAGGTACAATCCTAGGTCCTCTTCTCTTTCTACTTTATGTAAATGAATTGCTAACTGTAGCAAAATCATCCGTCCTACTCTTTGCTGATGACATAAAGATTTGGAGACCCATACATAGTATGTCGGATGGAATAGTATTACAGGACGATCTTAGCTCATTGGTGGCATGGTTAGACAGGTGGTCACTAGAAGTAAATCCTAATAAGAGTGCAGTGATGCAGTTAAATAACTCTGATGAATCGTATGACTATACACTACGTGGATTCGTGCTACCCAAATCAAGAAACTATAAAGATTTAGGAGTTATATTAAGCAATCATCTCAAAACCACTAGTCACTGTAAGGCTGCTGCTGCAAAAGGCTATAGGGTATTATGGTCAATTCGTAGGTCTTTCTAGTATTTAGATGATGAAATGTTTAGATTACTATACCCGATTTATGTGAGACCACATTTAGAATACGGGATTCAAGCAGCGTGTCCTTGTTTCAAGTATGAAGCAGATATGCTAGAAAGAGTCCAACGACGAGCTACTAAGATGGTACAAGGTCTATCTGGCCTATCTTATGAAAACAGACTGAGACACCTTAACTTATTTCCGTTATCTTACCGTAGAATACGGGGTGATCTAATATTGGCGTATTGTATACTAAACGATGTCCTTGGTATTAACATGTCTTATCTTTTGCTTCCGTCTAGAACTGATCATTTGAGAGGACATTCGAAGAAAGTTAAAAAACCGAGATCAAACCGTTTACGTTGGGAGTTCCGTTTCTCGCACCGAGTAGTGAATTACTGGAATTCTCTACCGGAACACGTAATATCGGCACCGTCTGTTAATATATTCAAAACGAGATTGGACCTCCACAGTATTACAAACTGCAAGGATTAATATAGGTCGATGGACCTCCTATCCTTATTACTGAAGACTGAAGATGTCACACTGACAGGTCTCAGAGACTCTGTAAAGTGACATAAGTTTTGCAAAAACTGTCTTCCGTCCGATGAAATTTCATCGAGATTAATAAGTCGACATACGCTTACCACCTTTACCAAACGCTCAGATGTCTAGAATTAGTAATGAAATTTTTTAAAACAAATGAATGTCATCCCAGATTGTGCCTTGAATAAAGCCGGTACGGATTATTACACTTTTAAGCAACGAAGTCCCATTTATTAATTTACAGTCATGCCTCATACTCTCGTTTGTAAAGCCCAATGGTTTATCTATCAATCGTGTAAGTTAAATCTCAAAACAGTGGCGATACGCACCAAAAATTCCTTACACATTAAATATTTACATAATGACATATCGGTTATAAACTAACATTGAGTAATTGAAAGAAAGTGGATTAAAAATAATCAAAGTTCAAAAAACAAAAAAACATCAAATATTGTTAGGTGAAAATTGTAAGAATAGCAATGAAAATGTAGTCAAAGGAGGCTTTGTTTAACCAAAACGTACATTTTGATGCATGATAACCTTGATCAGCGATTGGAGACTAGTTGACATGGCTCAGAATCGTTCGCAATGACATAAATACATTTCATTTATCATCCCCTGTCTCTTAACTTCCAGAATTTCTTCATGCTTACTTTTCCATTACCCCTTTTCGAACCATATTAATATTTAGTTTTGCGATCAATTATTAGATTATCTTAATCTCTTTTGCTATTCATCTTGTCGTGTCACATGTCGCTAAATTTTGCAAGGATCAAGGCTTCTACTTATAAGTTGGCATGTCGTGCTTGTTGAAGTATGCAGTGATGAAGGCTGGGTTTAAATATGCTTATTGTTTTAAAATTTATTCTGGCACATACGGAACCCTTTAAGCTGAATTTCGTTTAAGTGGACCTATGACTAGGAGTGTAGTCAGTGGTAGCAATTTTATTTATCGATTGAACACGCTTTATTAAAGAGATTCTTGACTAAAAATGTCCTCTGGTAACTGATTTAGGTGGTACTCCGATAGTGTTTCTTTCTTGTATTCGCTTTCCTAAGTTGTCCCTTCGTTTTTTTTTCGTTTTATGCTCTGGTCCAAATGGTTAGATTGACTATCATGTTCATATTGCTTTAGGAATCTGTTCTTTTCATGCGAAGTATGTCGACAATGCTTCTTGTATGTAGTGATCAGCAACAAGCAAAATACCTGCTTAACCTTTCCAGTTTACCATGGAACATGAAATGTATGATAAGTTCCACGTTCTTGTTACAACAGAGAAAGAGTGGCACAACTCAACGTTCAGTTTATCGCAGTAGAGTTCATCTGAATTTTAAGTGTCCAATTAATTAAAAAAATTCATCTATCAAAATGTTTTTTTTTCACTGAGTGGCAAGGATATTTATTGATGGTACACCAGGTGCAGAACTACTAAATGTTAAAACGTGCCGAGAGATCAACGGCGTCCACATAGATTTACTGAGGAACCTGGGAAAAGCGGAGACGAAACACGCAAAGAAATCATAATAGACAAAAAACCTTTGTTTATACAACTTGAATTCGAAGGTGACGACGTTACAGTGACAATAAACAGTATTAAAAACACTGACCAGAGCGTATCCTGCAGCCAAGCTGATTATCTCTTTGTTTATTTATTTTAACACATAGATATTGGTACAAGGAGGCACCAAATACACAGGCGCCACACAAATCTCATTTGATACGTGTGAGGGCTGTGATCTGCCCGGGTGCCCAGACCGAAGCAGGTGGTTTTCTTAGGGGGCCACACCCCGAGCCTTCGACCTAAAGGTCTAACCCACAAGGCAATGGAGCATCGTGAGGAGATGCAGTCTCATGGTAGCCGGTGACCGAGAAATTGGCTCATACGCCATTTGTTCCCACAGGATACTGGAGCCCATGTGCACCATTGGTTTGGAATCCGGTTAAAGCGCCGGACATTCGCTTTTCGTCCTCTCATTTTTGTAAACAACACCCCCGCCACGAGAAGGCAGTAAGTAAGACTTCCCTGGCAAAGGCTGTATACGCGCGGCCGTGTAAGAGTATTTCGAGAGGGAGGGCGAGCCCACCCCACTCTCGTCCATATCAGGGCATTTGGGGGCTGGCTAGTGTTCGCATGATTATCGTAATCACTGGCTAGACACTTTGATATACCTTAGAATCGTTTGCAGTGGCGCAGATTCATTCACTCTTTGTCTTCCTCAAATTTCTGAGCTTCGGAATTCCTAATTACTTTCTTTGTGTTTTTGTATCACTTATGTATATTTTCTTGAATCGTATCTTTGATGCATAATCTTTTTTATCACCATACCTATTGTTAGTACCTCTACTATTCTGGAATTCGGCCTGACAATTTCATCTCTCTGTGCTAATGGGGTATGGCAACTTGGATCTATGTACATACGTACTAGGTTTTACATTGTGACTGACTGACTTAGATGCCCATCTCTGATTATGGTCAAGCCCAACAATGTCCTCATTCGTGTCTCAGAGTGGGTCACAGTATGATTGATGACCATACACTAGTAATAATATTGCCCTTTCTTAAATGGAACTAATCACTTACAAGGGTATCATTAGTTAGTAGTAGATAAATAATCTTTATGGTCACTAGGTCGATAGTTTCTCTTTATCAGGATAATGGCTCTACTGGAGTTCACTTGGAAAAATAACCAAAATGAAGGCGTTTTAGAAATCGGTAAACATGTTTTTTATTTCCTCTAGTACTCAGTTTTGATGTTATTCAGGTGTATTGTAATTTTTATCTTTCTACGTATAGAACATCAAATGGAAAGAGTACTGTTATCAATGCGATGTTGGGTTCAAAATTGTTACCTTCTGGTTTGGGTCACACCACCAGTTGTTTCCTTGAAATCCAGGGAACGGATCAGGACTCAGGATATCTTCTAATGGCTGATTCTGATACCAACCCTAAAGAAACGTCAGATATTTCTCACCAGGTTTGATCAAATATTTAATTCGCATTTAAGAACTTTCGAATAGTTACACAGTATTTGGGCGCCGAGTTGATGTGAGACATTAACGTTTCGCCTGGCAATCTGGTCCAAACTTTTTCAAAGAAATATAATCAGGCATCGAAATTATCGAATATAAATAGGTACATGGTTCTTTGGTTCACTGTATACTGAATATGTCATCCAATCAATGTTAACAATGTTTAAAGTAGGTATTTACATTAGTGTGTATTATCTGAATAACAGCAATTGCATTTAACGGTTCTAATCAGTTGTCTTATCTGAATATGTTAAACGATTAACTGGAACATTAAAATAACACAAACATTCAGTTACAATTACATTCTTCCTCTTTGGATTCATTCCTTTATCTTGTTTATTTATCCTCATTTTATGCATGCTGTGACATTTTTGATTCATATCATTTATAAAAATTATATGTTTTCTTAAAGCTCACTGACCAGAGACAATATATAGTAAATGAAATTTCTTCTCACACCACTTACGTATACACACAATCTGTTATCTTAACACTTCGTTTCACATCACATGTCTCTTACATACTAATGCAAATACCTACTTTAAACATTGTTAACATTGGTTGGATGACATATTCAGTATACAGTGAACCAAAGAACCATGTACCTATTTATATTCGATAATTTCGACGCTTGGTTATATTTCCTTGAAAAAGCTTGGACCAGATTGCCAGGCGAAACGTTGGCTTTACTCCAAATTCATTCACCGAGATTTTACAAATACATTCTTCCTCTTTAATCTAATTAGCACTTTTGAATGATGACTTTTATTTTGTTGTTTTAATGGGAAGTCGATTACATTTTAGTGGATAGTCTGAAATATAAATATTTTTTGTCTTAAAACTTGTTTTAGTTTTGTGGGTGTACTAAAATTCTATATTCTGCCATTCATCTTACAACTTGTAGTTTTCTACTTGAGGTTTACTTTATTTCACCTGTTCCAGTGAGATAGGAATAGGTTGGAAGGAATTTAGGGTGGAACATATCAAGGCGTTATCAGTCCATACAATCATTGACTGCTATTGACAGGTACAAGCTACATATTGAGTTCTTCGCGGCAACTCTAATCAGTGATCAAAGACGTTAATTGGCATTGCAGAACCATGTACAGTAGCTCAGATGCATTCATCATTTATATTCGACCATTCTGGAAAAATAGGAGCATAGCACGATAATCCTAAAGAAAGATTTGTGTTCATTTACTTTCATGGGACGTATAACTTTTCGAAATATTTGATTCATATCTTACTACTTAAATCTATTGCTAAGTCGACCCAATAATTAAAATAGTCCCAGTTTTACTGGCACAATCTGTTAATCAAGTTAATTTTTCTTTACTCAGGCTCGTCCTATTGATTCCGTTGGTCAGTTAGCCCATGCATTAAGCAGTGTCAAACTTTCCACAGATACACTACTAAAAATATTCTGGCCAAGTTCATATTGTAGGCTGTTACGTGAAGATGTTGTTCTACTAGATAGTCCAGGGATTAATGTTGATCCAGATATGGATAGATGGATTGATCTTTACTGTTTGGATGCGGATGTTTTCATTCTTGTTGCTAATGCTGAGTCAACATTAATGCAAGCTGTAAGTAATTCACATATTTTATTTTGATTGGTAATTTACTTATTTATTTGAACACATTGGTACAAAAGGGGCACCAAATACGTATGCACCACACAATAACAATGAGGTTGTAGAGATATAGAATGTAAAGAAAGGGATAATTTTACCAAGATCAATACGGTTGTATATCTTTTAATGTACAAAAATGATGTGGTCATAGTGATATATATGTATTTGAAGGTTATTTAATTGTGAATTGACTATTATAAAGATTAGTATTAAATTCACTATCGATAATTAAAAACGCACTGTGAATGTTACTTCTTTGAGTTATTTTTAAAGGACACAGTATGAATTCAGTTTGTTTTGTATTGCTAATCATTGTAATAAATTATTTGAAGCCAAAGATTATAGTAATCTAATAGTTAAAACATTAAACTTTTCAGCTGTTAGTTTGTAAATCTGAACTCCGTTCTAACCAATTTAATTCGATCATTCGGTTAGTGTCATTAACTCTTACACCGAAAGTGTATCTAAAGGTGGAGTATATGAACTTGCACCTTGCTAAATGAATCGTATTTTATTTGAATTTTTTGTGGAAAAGCTTTAATCTCCACTATTTGTTTCAAATATTTTAAATAAGAGTGACCGGAATTCGTTTTTTCCTTCAGATAAAGTTCTTCTTGTGTAATAAATTTTTCAGGAGAAAGATTTCTTTCATAAAGTCAGTCAGAAGTTATCCAAACCAAATATTTTTATCATTAATAATCGTTGGGATGCTTCAGCAAACGAAATTGAATATATTAATGAGGTATGTGCACATTTTCTTGTTTTAGTTATATTCTAAACTTCCGAATACTTATTGAGAGTCCACTAAAAAGTGTTCAGTTAAGCTTAGTCATAACAAGATCATTAAGGCCCACTTTTCTAAAGTTTTTTTTTTCAGGGAGAAGAGAGCTATGGTAGAAAGACAAATAATAATAATGACTATTTTCCTTTTTTAAGACCTACGGTAACGTGATTGGAGTTTATAAACACCCCTTTACCAATCCAATTTTGTAATGGATCAACATCAATCAGTAGCTCAGTGAAAACCATGATTCGTGGAGATGTTTTCTCCTTGTTCGAGACTCTTAAGAATTACATACGCGTTGGAACATGACCTTCAGGTCTGGTGATGCGCATACCATCTAGTCACTGAGTCTGACGTTTAATAGTTTAGATTTTCAACTTTCGTCTATTCGCGATATAATGCGACCATCTTTCAACTTCATCAAAGGATAAAGGCCGTATTCTTAGCGTGATTGGAACCATAGACTATAACTCAGTAGCTAAATTCCCAACTTAGGTAAGGGTATCTATATGGTTTGAACCATCTTTTTACTCTATCACTTTCTCAGTATAATAAAATTATACATATGTAGATTCCACCTACATTATTTCGATTTTCCTACACTAACTATAATTTCCAAGAATATTACTTTCTAAATTATCATAATTTTTACTTAAATTATTTATCTTTTTAGGTACGTGAGCAACACCTGCAACGTTGTGTAGCGTTTCTTGTTGATGAATTAAAAGTGTGCACACGTACAGAGGCAGAGGGACATGTTTTCTTCGTTTCAGCCCGTGAAGTTCTAGCGATGAGAACAAAAGCGAATTTAGGTGGCGATCCACATTCAGGTCCACCTGGAGCGGCTACAAGTATTGGGTCTCCTTTGTCAGCAGGTGGGCTACTATCATTAGTGCTTTCTTATCAAGCTTATATTTATCTGTTTGGTGTCTGATAGTCAAGGATGTTGTGTAGTGACGAGTTCCATTCAATTGATTGTTCAACGATGATCCGTATTGTCGCGATGTGGTCTGTGCATGACCGATCCTCATGGGATCCGGTCTGTTAATCTGGATGTTTGGCGTCCATTGAATATTTTATCTGGTTAAGCATCAGTCTGTTGAAAACGTTTGCTAGTACCGATAGTAATGTGATGCCTGTGTAGTTCCCACATTTGTTGAGATCTCCTTTCCCTGGTATTTTGATGAGGTGTGCTTCTTTCCAGTCTGTTTGTGGTGCTTGTTCTTCGCAGTTCTTTCTGGAGAGAATGTGGAGCATCTTTGCAGTCAACCTTGTGTTTAACTTCAACACTTCGTTTGGTATGTTGTCAGGTCGTGCTGCTTTCTCATTGTTGATTTGTCTGATGGCCATCGTGATTTCTTCGCTTGTTGATGGAGTAATATCTACAGGGAGGTTAGTGTATGCTGCTTCGATGTCCGATAGGTTCATTGGGACCGGTCTACTCACGAGTTCTTCCAAGTGGTCTGCCCACTTGTTCCACTGTCCTTGGATCTCGGTGATTTGTTTGCCTTCTTTGTCCTTGACCGGCCTCTCTGGTTTACCATATTTCCCTACCAGTTTCTTCGTTGTATTGTATATTTGTCTCAGATTTCCTTCTTCAGCTTATTCCTCTACCATTGCTAGGTCTTCCACGCATTTCCACTTGTCGATTTCTCTCTTGGATCTCACGTCCTACATGGATCTTCTGAATTTTGTAGTGGTTCAAATATTTTTGATCTGGTTCTCTGTATTGTGATCCAGTGAGACACATGAAGATTTATGTATGTGCTTGTGGGGGAATATGGGGTCATTTATAGTCATTTTATTGAAGGCACATAAATCTGAAAATCTCTCGCCATTCTCGTTCCTTTCTCCCAGTTCTTATCATCAGTGCAACTCCCTGTGTGGGTGAAACATCCTCTTTTTCATGATCAAAGTACAACAGTATCGCTGCCGAATCTACTCTATTCTATCTATTTTGGTTCCAATAGTTTTCACTCATTTCAAGCACTTCCAATTTGTATCTCCTCAGTTCCGTAATTATTTGACTGGTCTTCATGGTCCCTCACATCGCTTGTTCATCCCGTAATCTCAATATATATACGGATGAGTGGAAATCCCTTTGTGAATTATGGGCTTGTCATGGTGGTTCTGTGTATAATTAAAATCACTACTTATTACTTTAGAGCAAATAAGACGTTAGCCAGCTCTTATGGATTTCTGATTCTAATAAAATTTGACATCAAAATATAACTTCAGTACGTTTCTCTTTACGTCCTATCGGGATCATTAACTGTTCATAATCGGATAAAACACCTGATTAATACTTCATCAAAGTTAAGAAAAATTAGACTAGTTGTTTGTATCGTTCTATCAGTTATAGTTTCTCTAATCTAAATGGATGATCTCTATATTTGGAATTTACAGCAAATAAATTTGGTTGTTTATTTAAAACTACCATATCGTTATTAGTTACTCTAATAATTTTGTGACATTACATTGGGATTTTTTAGTGGCCTATATGGCTGAGGGTTGGCAAGATAGACTCGTGGAGTTTACAAATTTCGAAACTGTTTTCGAGGTTAGTGGTGGTTAAATTTTATTTCTATTCCCTGTTTATGCATTGAAGTAATTTATTTGTGACAGTTTTTCTGTTTTATGTTTTGTTGTATGTGATTTTCTGTTTTGTCCTCCATTACTGATGATCAATATGATTTCACTAAATGCACTAATCACTCGTTGTATATTGGGCCTTATAATCATGATACTGTTGTGATTCAGTGGATTTCAGACACTGAATTTTCAACTATAGGACTGGGATTCTCAACTACACTGTACTTATTTAGATTTAACAGCTAAGTAATTACTATACACCAAGTACAGCTTATAGCTTAGTTTTCTTACATACTGTTAGATTCCTAGTTTTTAAAAAATTCTTTAAAGAGCTTACAGTACTTGGAACACTGTCTTGATGGTCATAACATTCGACTTCGAAAGACTGTTTCAGATTCTAACATCGCTTCATCTAATTCCTTTGAGAAAACTGACTGGTGTCAATCGAGTGCATTAACCTGTAGTCGTCACATAAGCTACCTTATTTCAGTTGGTCTAAATGTATTTAAATGAACTTTCTACGACCCTTTATTGTCGATATAAGATTGTACTGAGTTAACTAGTTACATTTAAATTTATTTGATATATTTCTATGTTCCTATCTGTATGGGGAGATCCATTTGTAGTGAATAACTGTCTTGAAAATCATGCATTGGTGAATTTTATCTATAGTACTTATACCTCTATCGTTCAAAAAGAAGAAAAATCAATTTTAAATGTAGGGTAATTTACTTTTGTACCACTCATGGGTAATCTCAGGACATTCTTACCCTTGATAGTCATCTTGGTGCACTTTTACTTAAATTTCACTTGAATTATACAAATCGAAGTCGAATAATGGTATTTGACAAGTTCCAGGTGAAGTCATCACCAACTTTTCAATGTAATTAATCAGTTGACAGAATGTAAACTATCGCAATATAAAAGAATACTATTAATCAAGGTATTAATGTTTTGAATTGATCATGTTAGAGACAGATTAGTATATTTATGTGTGTTGCGTTCAAATGCATTCAAATATAATTATAGTAATACTTAAGATTATTTTAAATATAATTTTCACATATAATGACTTGTAATTTATGACTTATTGAACTCCAGTATTACTTCTTGTGAATTTATTTTTTCTTTTATATAGAAAAATCTTTCAGAGTCTGCTACTCGTACAAAATTTGCAGCTCATTCTGAACAAGGCAAGGATGTAGTGAATAGAGTTCGTACAATCATGGAAAATATCTATGAGACAACAGTTGAAGAAAAGTCAGTATTATTTTATTGTTAACATTTTGATTTTATTTTAATTGTGATTTTTGTTCGATATTTTATGTTGTTAGTGTTTATACTTGCGTATATCTTTATTTTGGACTCTTTTCTACATTTATCCTAATTATGAAAAGGATTATTAACATTGATTATAGACTGTAAAAATTTATTGAATTCTGATCTATTTCATTCTTTTTATTTACTTTATCTAATATTAAGTTTAGGATCGTTTATACAACATTTTTTCTATTTTGATCCTCATATTATTGAGTTATACTTAGGCTACGTCTATCAACCCTATCAGTTTTTGATGGTTTAGTTTTTCACTGCTGTTGACACTATTTTCGTTTATTCACATTTTCTGTTATTATTTTCTCTTCGCTATAGCAGTTTAACATGTGATAACTTGAATCGAAACACATTCGAGTCGAGTATTACGTTGTTTTCACCTGAACGTGATAATTTAGACTTCTTGGCAGTATTACTTTGCATTCAATCATACCTTTAGATCATCTTAAGTTATTTTATTTAGAATATTTTACGTGTTCTGACTTTCAGAAAGCTGTTTATTTTAACGAGTTAACTAGTCTTATGAGTATACTTTTATTGAGAAAGTTATTTTTTATTTATAACCATATTGGTTATCATATGTTTGTTGTTATGAATTTTAATTTTATTCACTTTTTGTTCTGTATTAGAGATGCTGCCGTTCGTTGTCGTCGTCTTTCTCAAGCACATCTTGAAGAGGTACGTGCCCGGTTGATGAAGACAACTCAAGCTGTAGATGAAATGCTTCATGCTAGTTTGGCACGTGTTGAAGCCCAAGTCGCTAGTGCATTAAATGCTGAAATTCGACGTTTGAGTGAACTTGTCGATAGTTATTCGCGTCCTTTCCATCCAGATCCAGCTTTGATTCACGTATACAAGCGAGAACTAAATACACATGTTGAACGTGAATTAGGCAGAAAACTTACTGAAGCTTGTTCTAGTGATATTCTTAATGAAGTTGCTCGATGTGAACAGTTAATGATGAGTAAGTTTTTTTTACAAATTTGAATGTTAATTAAGTGTAACAAGTTTTTTGAAACTTCCAACTACACTCACTCATGTGTTAATAGTCGGGGGCTTCACACCATAATAGTAATTCATAGTGTCCACATTTTTTTGCAGTACCGTTTTTGAGTACTGCTAATCGACTTAAGAATTATTAAGCAAAAATTAAGTCTTTTCATTTTCATATGCGTATTTGTGTGATGAAATTAATTGTTACTTTTGAAAAGTAACCTTCTTGTGTACACATTAGAGTTCTGATTGTGAATTATAATAGCTAAATAACTCACTAAATTTTCTTACTGTAAATGCCTCTAAATTTGGACTAAAAATTGTTAAGCACTTGATCTGTTAAGCTCTCACATAGCTGTTTGTTTACTGCTCTTTATTATTAAAGTCCAATATGATAAAATAATTGCTTTCTAAATATTTACGTAATTTATTCGTATATGAAAGTGGTAAAGTTGATCCAACATAGTCATTATCAGATGTAGGGTAATACTCGTTTGTCCGGAAGATTTAAAATTCTATCATTAAAATAAATAGTAATGTGAAGTACCAGGTTTTTACCACATTTGACAAAATTTCTATATTGTGCATGATGTATAGTTTTCTGAATTGGCTTTTACTCTTTTTTTCGTTTCAGATAAACATGCGGCAATTGTTTCAGACGAAGCTTGTAAAAATCGTATACTTCAGCTAGTTGATCCTACTGCGTTTACTCCGGAATTCCATCTTGATTGTCGTAATTTGTGTGCGAATTTTCACGAAGATATTCAGTTTCGTTTTTCTCTTAGTTTGGGAACGCTGTTCCAACGGTTATCAGCCCCACGTCGTTCGACAAATAGTGTAAGTTTTCTGCCAGTGTATAGCTATTTCGTTAATTGAAAAAAATGGAATTTTTTAGTCGTTATATGTAATGTAAAGCGTGGTGACTTGCTAGTTAAAGCATTTAACTTTTAACCACATCTTTCATTATCATGTCAACTATTTGATTTCAAACAGCTAAACAGAATCATTGGCCCTTAAACAAAGTGTGTAATTTAGGAAGTGTTCTTGTTTGTTGAGACGCGGTACTCTTCAACACTAACAAATCAATTAGATTGTTTTTAAGGGTGCTAATAAGTCGAAGACTTCTTTCTGGACTAAAACTTTCACTTACTATCACTTCCAGTTTATTTTAATAAATGGTTGCATTTGTACACTGTTCTTTTTTACTGTTCAACTTTTTTGAAAGACAAGGTATCAGTTAACTAAGTAAACGGTTTATAGACATTTCTTTTGAAGAATATACGAATTCAGAATTGTTTTATATGCATAATTTTGATAGTTTGATTTGTCTTTATTAATTCATCATTATTTTTTCGAAAGTCTTCTAACAGAAACACGTCATTGAATAATGTCCTAAAATTTTAATAGGGATTTAATTCGATAATGGTAAAAGAAAAAGAATCTGAGGATTCTTTTTTTTAGAATTTGTTATAACACTCAGTTTTCCTCGTCTACACAAATTGGACGCTAATTTGTCTTAGATATCCTCCCAGTGTCTATTCTACAGGACTACAACACAACTCAGATTAGGAACACGTGACTGTTTAAACTAGAACGTAAGTTTATTTCCACACTAAAAACGGACAACAATCCAATGATATCACTTGGTCGCCATTTACCGAATATCCGTCTTTTAAGTCTCCTATCTAGCATATTGTTACTTATTATTGATAAAGTGCCCATGTTGATCTGATTAATATCAACCTTTTGGTCATATTTTAAAGGATTGATGTACTTATTGACAAGTGATTTTGAAATTAAAAAAGCTTGTATCACAGAATGTAACCCGGTGTCATGAGTTGTACTGTAGTGTATACTACTTATACTGACAAATATAAGTAGTATGTAGCACCAATAGGAAGTGAGATGTCTGCCAGAGGATTGAATTAAAGAGAACAGGAAGTTAAACAGAGAACAATTGTAATAACAACCGGATTGAAAGAATGAAGACGTATGTACAGGACAACTGAGGGAAGATGTGCAAATAGTGTATTTAATGTATGATTTTTAGATTTTACGAAAGCATTGTATAATTTTGCATAAAACAATATATTGGTTTTCCTCACCCGAGTCCTCATTCACTACAGTACTGTGTCAGTCTATAGGCGTGGTTATAAATCTAGATAATACTAAAAGTAATTAGTATTTTGCCTAATTAATCAAAGGATTACGTTATTGAATGATAAATATTTCGAATTTTCCATGTTTTACGATCATGTTTAAATATTTTATCTCAATTCAATATGTTTACGTTTTAAATGATTTCGTATTAGCAAAATAGCAATTATATGTAAACGTGTTTGGTTGTTTAATGTATAATCAGGTAGTCGATGTTTCTTATTCATTTTACTTTCAGTATCATTGGACACAATCTGATGGAATTCCTTCTAGTTTGGTTAACTCTTCCATATTACCCAGATCTTCATTGACTGTTGATTTATTCCCTTCTCTTATGAGCCGAGGTGCTGTCGGTACTGTTATTGCTTTTGGAATTGTAAGTTTTAATGCATTTGACATTGTATTGTATTTACGGTGTTTTATGAATAAAAAGAATAATAAGTTTTAATAACTCACTCAATGTTCTCTAGTTGTATATATTTTCAAATTTAATGCATAGTCCCAATAGATTTCACTACTTGTTTCATATTTCTTTTTCTGGCTGTCATTATTTACATATAAGTGGTATGATATATGAATAAATCGTCCATCCACTATTTTCACCATGGCTTCTTCCTTGATAAATTTTGAGCAAATTGTTCAAGATGGTAGAGATTTTATTTAAGATCTAAATCTCTCGTGCTCACCTTTTAAAATTACTTGTTTGTCATTGCGAACGTCAATCAGAAAGACTTTATTTTTTTATGGCTTGTGATAAACATCTTTTGATATTTACATATTCATAATTGCTATTGGAGTTGCCGGTAAGGAGCTTATCAACCTGTATTTTATTAAATTACTCTTTTATAAGATTATTTAGAAATTATAAATTGAGAATTTCATTTTAATACTTCGAATTCGTCTCGTTCTGTGGCAACAAAGGTGTATTTTCTTTTGTTCCAAATAGTAAATGTGTCTGGATAGGGTATGAAAACGCGGCTTGCTTAGCACAGCAATACAAACATTTATTTGTTCATTTATTCTCCTTCTTTGCGTGGTATGACAACTTTGATTTACAGCATCTATTAGATTGTCTAATTTCATCAACGACCATAATGTGAGGTCATGTATAGTCGATCAGTTTTTCCAGCATCAGATCTACGTACATACGCCTGTTATCTTGCCACAGTTTCTCCACTTTTTCACTCCAAATGTCTCTCATTTTCAACTTTGATAACATGATTGGATGATTTGTTTAGTACATAGTCCATTTGTAAACCATATATTTGTATCCAATCATTTTAATGATTTTCTTTGCAAAAGCTTGAACTAGATTGCCAAGCGAAACGTTGAGATTTTTATAAGTCTAATATTCTCATTGTTAGATACTAACTCGACTCAAAACTACTGTGGAACTATTTGTTCAAATTTAAATGGTTATTCTTGTAAATGTTCGTAATTTCGTTTGAAAGTGGAGTGACTTTTATAAGTTTTGTGAAAATCGATTTTATTAGATTGCAATACTTTTTTCATAATGTCCTAAGTACTTTGCTTTCTAAAGTTCTTAGTGTAATGGTAAGTTTCTGTTCATTCATTTCTTCAAAAAACGTTTTTGAATCAAGCATTACTTTTTTTTGTTGATAAAAAACCCAACCATACTAGATGTCTAAAGCTGTTGGTTGGCGAGTTCTAGCAGTGGCTTGTGGAATATACGGTGGTTTATATCTATACGAACGACTTTCTTGGACAAATAAAGCTAAAGAGACTGCTTTCAAACGTCAATATGTCGATTTCGCTTCCCATAAATTACGTTTAATTGTTGATTTAACTAGTACAAATGCTCGGCACCAAGTAAGTTTTGTGATAAAGTTTTAAAAAAACTCTTTGGTTTGTTCACTGAATAATTTTAAGTGTAAAAAATAATTTGATAATAGCGATAACATCTACTTTGTTTTGATATACTTGATATAAATGTATAGAACTTTAATAGTTGTCGGCAGATTTGGAGTAGTTTTAATTTTTGAAAATCTAAATTTTAAGAAATCCTTCCACTTGCTGATCTGTGTACTTAAAACTGAACAACATATTGCTCAGCTTTTTTTCCAGTTGCTTCATCAATATTCCTATTTATTCATCCTAATACATATATCACTATACACTTTTATTCTTGGAATTACTTAAAAGAACTTGTTATCACTATGATGTTATTATTGGGGTTTAAAGTATTATTCTCTTGTGGTTAGTTAAATAATTAAATTACTCAGTCAGTTTTCAATTATTTAACTGTAAATTTGAACTCTGTTCTATCTAATTTGGTTTAAGTAGCCAGATATAATTAATAGCCTTGATACAAATGTATAGTTAAATCCCAAAAGAGGTTTTTAGTATTAATCCGCTTTTAAATTTATTTGTAAATATGTGTTTTATTTATTTTCTTAGGCTAAAAGAGAGTTACATCTAGCTCATAAGAAGTTGTCCACGGAAGTGGAGAATTTCAGTGATACTTTAGTTGAAGAAGTGAAACAATTGGATAGTGATATAAACCGTCTGGATTTCATTACTACAGAAGCAAGGAAACTTAAGTGAGTAATTTAATTACATTGTATTTTAAGCTGTTGAATATATGGATCTTACACCATAGATATGTTAGTGTGAACATGGAACTCTTTGTTTTATGTCCTTATTTATTATTCTATCTGCTGTGCTAATAGTGCAAAACATTATCTGTTTCCAAAAGAAATCCTCCCTACAATTAGCCTAAATTACTTGTCACTTCTTTTGAGTTCGTTCATAATTGTAGTTTTAAGTATAAGGGATATATGGAATATATCAAATAAGGGATGTATTTATAATAACAATAACAATATTTTATGAAAATAAGTACAGAATGTATGTCCAATTTTCTACTCATTGGGATATTACAAATATATTATTTTTATTTAGAATGTATGTCAGTTTACCGCGTTGATCAATTTGATGCAAATTACTTGGTTATAATAACAACAATAATAAATTTAAGGTTACGGCGTCTGAAAGAATGTGATTTCCATGTAACTTCAAAATGAGAATTTCGAATAAAATGATCAAAGTTATAAATGATGTACAATTCTGATTGAAATGATTTTACAGCACAACATTAGTGATTATTCACACTCCATAGAAATAAATAAATAACAACAATTAAATAAGGTGAACATCGAACTAGTTTACTGAAGCGTAATAGACAATTAAAGCATCTATGTGTACGTACATCTTCATGTTATCATGATTAAACTGTCATTTAAAAAAAACAACGATATTTCGTATGTGGCCATTTTTTAATAGGGAGAGTCACTTACTTAAACTGTTCACATTTCTCTTAAATCTCACATTGGAAATATTTATTTTTTTTAAAAGGTAAACCTCTTTTATTTACATGTATTCCTTGTTGGTTATACTTTCGTTTAGAAAATAATAAAGCTTATTCAACTGTTAACTATTTGTCAATTAATTTTCTTCAATTTTTAATTTACAGAAATCGTGCTAATAACTTGGGGAATATTTTGAATAAATTTCATGAAACATTTATTTTAAATCCATGGGATGAATCTAATTAGAAGAATTCAGTTTATTCTTTTGGTGTTTTCTTTCCTTTCTTTTGGAAGAAGAAATGTTCATCTATGTTTTAATCCATCCATTGATAACCATCTTTGAACAATATATATATATAGTTCAGTTTACAAAATGAAAAACATGACACAAAAAAACAAAATCTCGAATTGAAATATCTTCAAAAATCGTTCTAGTAGTATTATTAGTTAGTAACAGAAGCAGTAGTATGGTAATAATTCATTGGTTACAAAATTGTATTCCTCAAACAATTTAATTTCCCCATCTAAACGATAATAGTTTTATTTGGGAACTTGTATTGTATATTATGTATGGTATTAATATGTCATTTAATTGTCGACATCATCAACCACATCCTACTTAGTCGATAGATGAGCGCTTATTATTATTACTATTATTATTATTGGTTCATAAATAACTTTTTGAGGGTTAACATATTCATAATTGAATGTATGTACAACATAAGATATAATTCATATGAATTTTTTAAAATTGAATATACATTGTTAAACAGTATAAATTGTTTTTTTCATGGTTAACACTTTCATCACCTTATTCGTTGGTATTATAAGTTTATATTATGTTTCAGTAGATCATTCATATTTCTGGTTTACGCATAATAATTAAATTTATTTTGTATTGTTTGTTTGAATCTTCTCATTGATGTTTAGAACTGCAATTGATCAGTCTCTTATTGGCATACGTGCATCCTGTACTGATTGCCTGGATATTGCCTTCGTTCAAAAGCATTATAAGCAAAGATGGTTGGTGGCTAGCAGTGGAATTTAGGACGCGCGTTTCGTCCTATTTGGGACTCGTATGCTGGATGTACCTGATCAATCGAGGTCCTAAACGTCAATGGGAAGATTCAAACAAACAATACAATGAATTTAAAACTCCACTCCATTTCACAAGCAAGTGGTTATCAGGACTTAGTAGCCAAGTGGATAAAGCTATAGCATTTGAAGCGAACAGTGCTGAGTCCGGGTCCCGGAATGAACATCAACTCTGGGATGCAGATACATCCAGCTGACGAGTCCCAGATAGGACGAAACGCGTGTCTTGAATTCCACTGTTAGCCACCTATCATATTTGCACATAATTAATTGTTTACAAATTTTCATCATATTAATAAAACATGGGTCATATAAACAAAGAATATTCTTTTCAATAAGTTCTCGTCAGGTTCTATCGCTACAAAGTCAAATTCCTAAACCAAATGTGAGATAACCCATCGTTTACGATTAGGTTATATAAATGTACGATTGTGAAAATAAAATTAGATTTAATATTGAAATTATTAGTATTCAATGTTCACTTGAATTACATTATATGTTAAATGAAATCATGAGATGATTGATAATGAAGAATAAATTTAGATAAAACAAAATAAGGGAATAATGTAATTATTAATCAAACCAAATGGTTGGTTAACGACTGGGTAATGCATAAATTGATATGAATTCAGTACGAGATATTGAAATAGGTTGATAGTTAATTAGATTCTTGACGTTTACAAGAAGAGTAATAATGATACGAAACATGTGAATTATAATAAAAATATTTGAATAAGATGAATGTAGGTTATGAAATTACATAGGGTAAGGCTATGTGTCCATTAGTCAAATGAGGTCATCCTATAATTAAGATGATGACTGACTTATCAGGTCTGAAGTTTCCTTAGGCAAAAGAAGAGGCTGGACATATTTTTTTTGGTTCAAATAGCTATTGCTTCTGCTTCTAAAGAAGAAATACAAATAGGTCATTAACATGTTTCTAAAAGATGACAATTTATTGATTAAGTAGCTATATAAAGGATCGAGAGTTCTCGAAAAAATGAGTGGCATCACGAACAAAATTTTAGAAACTAGCTGACCAGACAGATCTAATTAATGAGATAGATGATGATCTTAGCCGACCATTAATGACGCTCAGGTCAACAGAGAACTGCATAGAATTTTCAACTGTTTCAGCCGAAGGTGGATAATACGCTGCTCCTTTGTTAACATTATATGGCGCAACTTGTTTGGTTAAAAAAGTTCTTACCTAGTCTAGAACCTAATAGTCAATGTACTGCGTCTCCATCCATTTATTTATAGCTTTCACTGCTGAACGCGATAGATTTTGGGAATAAGTATTACGTTAACGGGAATTTCAATACCTTCAGCAATAATGATTACATTTTGTTACAATTTTCTGAATTATTTACTCATATATTATGTAATTTTAAGCTTTATATCTGTTGGTATCTTGTTTGCTCAGTTATCTAGCTTCATACGTGTCTAATAATAAATTCGGCAATTGGCTGTTTCGTAATTCGATAAACTTGCAAAAATATTTCTAAAATGTTCCCATAAGATTTTCATTAGTTTTGTTTTCAAAATGAAATATATCACTTAATGTGTATTCATGCACAATAGATTAACACGATGAAGTTTTTATGCGCTAACCCGCATTATGCTTGCGTATAGTATGTCGATATCATAACATTTTGACACTTCGTAAAATTCATGCATATTTTATATCTCAGTAATTTCTGTATATCATGGTTATTCTTTCCGATTAACCAGTTTTTTGAACACTCTGGTCTGTATCTATATTCTTTATCCACCGTTTGAAATTTCCTATTTCTATATATAATAATGAATCAAAATAATATTAGACATTTGAGCTTGAAACTTTTAAATGATTAGTGTACACAAAAGAATTTTATAAAATTAAAATGTACGTGCAAGTTAATCTGGGCACATAGGGCAAAAGAAAATAATATAATATCATAAAACTTTTAAAAGCTACATGTTTATATGTATATGATGTACAGTAATTTAAAGATAGACGTCCTAGCTCATTAATGTTTCCAATTGGCGTAGTAGTATGTTGATGTACTTCAGACCTTTGGCACACTATAAAAGTTTCTGCTCATTGCCATAAATCACCATTTATTTGAGATCATCTAGATCTCTAACTAATTTGCTTGATGCCCGAATACCAATGTGAAATCTTACACAGTTTGTCGAGGATGTCTTCATAACGTTGATAGGACAAATTATCTTAGTCGGCTGGTAGTCACCACATATTATATTCGTCGTGTCTGTGAGCAGTTTTTCTAATCCCAACAAGGTATGTCCATTCGTCAATCAACTCTGCACTTCATAATTATCTAATTGCAATCATTCTATCATCTGTAAATTGGAATCATTACACTGGAATGTATGCATACTTGTTCGTGATAATGCATTAGCCACTGTGTTCTTATTACCTTCGTATTTATTATTTATTATTTATTTATTTATTTGAACACATAAATATTGGTACAATAGAGCGCCAATATATATGCGCCACACAAAACAATGGGAATTCGAAGAGAAGTAGAAAGAAGAAAAAAAAACAACTAAGGAACGCAAAAGAAAAAGAGAACAATGACGAGGAGATTGGAGTAAGGTAGTGTGGTAGTAACGACGGAACGAAAAGGTACAATCAGAAGAAATCTTTCAGGTAAAGGAGACACAACCACTTTTTATGAAGAAAGTAAAAGAAGGTTACAGCAGGATCGCCACTGGCTTCTATTCTGAGCCATATCTGATAACGTCTCTAGCCACTGTGTAGCACCATCTCTCGGACCCCAGCCAGGGAGTCGTGAAGGACCAACACAAGCCAGTCCTTTGCAGCTTTCTTTCATGCCACGACACCATGTCATGCACTGACCACCTCTCCGCTTCTTCCAACCAGTCCCAGAGTCGGCAAATAATGCACGACGTGGAATTCTCTGGGACGACATTCGGAGAACATGTCCAAGCCACCGAAGTCGGTGTTTCAAGATGGTGACACCAATTGAGTTATCATCTCTGTGCCCGAACACACGATGCCGAACCTCTGCATTACTGACATGGTGTTGCCACTGAATGTCAGCAATCCTTCGGAGACAGCGATGATCGAACACAGAGAGTCGTTTAACGTCCTCAACTCGGAAAGGCCAGGTTTCACAAGCATAGAGCAAAACTGCTCTCACCGACGCGTTGTAGATCCGACCTTTTACAGCCAGACTAACATCACGAAGGCGCCAAAGGTGGCCCAGATTGGCATAAGCCGCTCTGGCTTTCACTATTCGTGCATTGATCTCATCACTCACACCCCCACCAGCACTTATGCAGCTACCCAGATACACGAACTTCTCAACTACGTCTATCTGCTCACCATCCAGGGTGAGTACAGGATTAGAATCCTGCCAGTCTTGTAGAAGTACTTTGCACTTCGAAGGTGCAAAGCACATACCATACCTACAGACATTGATTGCCAACTGATTAAGTGCGGATTGCATGCCTTGGGCATTATCGCACAGTAAGACAATATCGTCCGCATACTCAAGGTCGAGAAGTCTTTCTCCAGGCAACAGATCCACACCACCATTACTTACATTCATCAGAGCTGTTTCCAGAATGTCATCGATGGCAAAGTTGAAGAGGAATGGTGAGATTGGGCAACCCTGCCTAACCCCACTGCTCGAATGGAACAATGGAGAGAGGTGGTTGTATGCCCTCACTCTGCCTGAGGTGTTTTTATACAGGGCTTTTAGGATGTTAATAAACTTCTCAGGCACACCCTTCTTCAATAGACAATCCCAGAGAACAGTCCTATCCAACGAATCGAAGGCAGCCCTGATGTCAAGAAACACTACGATTGTTGGCCTTTGAAAAGTATGGCGGTGTTCTAACATTTGGCGGAGGGTGAAGATATGGTCAATACATCCTCGACCAGAACGAAACCCAGCCTGCTCCTCGCGAGTCAATCTTTCTCGGGTTTTGAACAACCTACGAAGAATGACGGAAGCCAATAGCTTGGACGCAATCGGAAGTAAACTTATCCCCCGATAGTTGTTACAAGAACGACGTGAACCCTTTTTAAAGATAGGGACAACTATCGACTCATTCCATGACGTTGGTACACTCTCTAGTTCCCAAACCTTTGTAAACAACGTCGTCAATTCCTTAGTCAAAAAGTCACCACCATCTTTAAAAAGAGCCGGAGGTAAGTCATCTGGGCCAGGTGATTTGTAACGCTTCAAGAGTTGGAGTTCCTTGCGGACTTCCTCCTCATTTGGTGGATCAGTCGTCACCGGCCATGGAGGGCAGGACAGTCTGACCGATGTTGCCGGAGCAGCAGGCCAGTTGAACTGCCCTTCGAAAAATTCTGCCCATCGTCCAAGACGTCGATGGATGTTAGTGATTGGCATCCCATCATCCTCGCAGATTGTTTCACTCACACCAGACTCCTTGCTGCCAGTGGCTCGGATGAGCTGGAAGAGCTTCCGGCAGTTACCAGATGCAGCTGCTGCTTCCAGCTCATTAGCACGCATCGACCACCAGGCTTCTCGGTCCTTACGCAAGCTTTGCCCAATTTCCTCACGTAACATCCTTCGTTTATGGTCAAACTCACGGTCACCCGGAGTAGACCGACGGGCTTCAATGAGTTGTAAGGAACCAGAAGAAACCCAGTGCTTAAAAGCGGGACGTTTCGCAAACCCACAACTGACTGTTCCCGCCATTTTCATGGCGTCATGCAATTGCAACCAATGCTCATCTATACTTTTCGGTGGAGTGGTAGCTAGCCTAGAGGCTAGCTCGGTTCGATACTTACTTGCAACAGAAG